CCCCCCCGCCCCGTCCTTCGATTCTTCTCCTTTCGATCCTCGCTCTTCGCTCCCCAAGTCTGAAAAATGGCGTTGTCTTCCCAATGAAATGGAGGACCTCGTTAGAAGGATACTTGGATATTCGCGATGCCCCGAGCGTCCGCATGATCGATCACTCCGACTCGTGCTGGCTATCAAGAAGACGCTTTGCAAGAAAGAGATGCCGGCTCAATTCCTGAGGAATCAAGGATCCTTAATAAGGATTACGAAGAAACAGGATCTTTTCGAATGACTCGCTGGCCGATCCGAGTCACTTCCGTTGGAATTCCGAATTCTGAGACGAGTGACTCGGAGTGAACGAATGCGCGCGTCAATCAGGCAGCCGTGTGTCATCCGCGTGCTCCCACGTTCCTCCTAGCAGGACTCCTCGGGACGCGCCTGAGCTAGAAACATCCTGGAGACGCGAGAAGGATCAAAGTCGCTGAGAATCTCTGAACTCGAATTGCATCGGTGACGCGAGCGCGTGCGTAGCTATTAGCGTCTCGGCGATCGTTTCGTCTGTTTTATTAAGGCGTCCGCCTTTTAACCTTTATAGGCGGTAGTAGACCTTAGTGCGCGCGAGGGACACAGCCAAAAGGAATTGGTGAGAAAATATTAAAGGATCTTCTTGCCAAGAAGCCACGCAGATTCTTGCCCCATGCAATTAATTAGGTAAACCGGACGCGTGTCGATCTTCGGATATTTTTATGATTGGCAGTGATAGTTCAGCCAATACGGTTCTACGGGGACACAGCCACCTTCCACGGACCCCCCGCACTCTTCGCTTTTCTCTCCGTCCTTCAACCTCCTCCCCTCCGCCCCAAGCTTCGTCGCACATTGATCGCGCATCGCCACCCGTACCACTTGTCGTACTTACCCGAAAAGTTATTTAAGTTATTCGAAAAAGTCCTTTCCGAGCAACGTCGTCACGCCTCTGACCTGATCTCCTGATCGCCTTCGGAGAGGAAGCTCCGTCCAATAGGAAAAGCCACGAAACCTTCCCAGAGATAGAGGATCTTATTCAAACGCTCGAATCGAGAGGATCGGCAACTACGCCGTTTAGAGAACAAGCTGGCCGAGTTGATAATCGGCCTCCGGAATGTTAGATAAAGAGAGCTAGGAGCAGCTACGGGCTCCCAGCGATCCCAGCAATCCAAGCAATCCCAGCAATCCTAGAGATGTCGGGAACAGCAGTGTGAGAGTGCCCGAGGGTCGTGGAATCGGGGAGGAAAGAAATGTTTTCAGTATAAAATGAAAAGGTGAGGAGGGATGGGGAGGAATGTGAGGCAAAAAGAATTGCGTCATTGGGTACCTAGAAGTTTTATCACATATCAAGCGACCGCGTACCTAGATAAGAACACGCGTGTATTCCGCATGTCGAGAGCGAATGCTGAACCGGAACGACAACGGAGACTTGTAATACGTGTTGAAGATACTAGAGCTGCGCGCCTCCGACATTCGCTGAATTTTCAGCCCTGACCGACCGTACACTGATTCTCCAAGCCAACTCACAGCACCCTCAGGAGGACAGATTCACTTTGACCGCAGCATGTAACTCACCAATCGGAGAGTTCGGCCGATACGGAACGGCCATAGCGGCAGATGGCACCAGCGAGCAGGGGAGACGTGTTCAGCGCAACCCTCATGCACGAGAACGTGAGGCTCGTAGCAGTGAGATGCCGCCACTCGACACTTCACTGCAAATCCAACGTTCTTGTTTCCTATCCTTTCTATGGCAGTTAATTTTTTACACATTTAAAAATGTATTACTTTTACGTTGGAATATGTAGGAATAACAGCACGCTCGTGAGTGTGTAAAAAGTGACTACCATAGAAAGGATAGGAAATAACACACTTGGATTCGCAGTGTTGTCACCAATGTCCCTTTTCCCTTTTCCAGCTCCACTATGTTTTTCAAATAAAAGAAGCTTCTACCTTCGGCTTTTTCCCCAAATTCTAACAATTGTGTGTGCTGACTGGTGGGCTTGCTCTGTCAAACTGCAACGACACGTACGGAACGGAGCAAGCATGTAGAGCAAGAACACACTCCTTCGATTGAATATCGTATTCGATTTGAGCAATTACTCGTTTTAAGGATCGATTGGACACTGGATCCTGAAGACTGCAGATATTCAACGAATCTTTGCGTCGCCTGTTCAGTTGATTCGAGAAAATGCAGCAGGCATTTAATAAAAATAGAAAAACCCGAAAGAAAAAGTTGGGCCTGTGTGACAAGGAACAGTGGAGAATCAAACGAGTGCGGATATCCCTTTGAGACGATGAGTAAATAAGAAAAAAAAGGAAAGTACAAGGTTTTTGTTCTATTTTGCGGTGCGAAGTAAACACGAAGGTAAATGCGCGACGAGCAGTGGCGCCTCCTGGTCGCCGATGAAACGCCATCAGTGCTCTCGTGTCTATTATATAGTAGGAGGATTCGGGGAGCGCTCGCGCATGTGAGAATCACGGCGTGACACACGCCTCAGGAGCGAGCCACGACATGACACCCACCGAGGAGGTAACCGGCCTCCTCGAGAAGTACGACAGCGTCGTCGCCGGGGTGACCTAACCTTGCCGACTAGTGAAAAGTCAGAGACTCACGCTTCTGCTCACGATGGACCGGAGACCACGAGGCATTCGAGTATACGCAATACGCAACACGCAATATGCAATACGCAATACGCATCACGCACGACGCAATCCGCACACCAGAAGACTGGCATGCCTCAGTGTTGAGACCCACCATGCCGACCGCCCCCTCCCGAACCCGAACAACCCCGAAAAAATGCGATAAGCCTTGAGACTCACCCTCGTCTGAGTCATCCAGGTCGTCATTCTGGAGGTAGGATATATCTGAAACCCACAAACACCATGGGTTAGCGGAAAATCCCTCGTGTTTTTGAGCAGCCTCGTCCCATCCACAGGCACTCACTCACCCGCCATCTTGCAACAAACTACCGCGACCCTCGCGGCCACGCGACTCAACTTGTGCCCAGCCAATCGACTCGCAATCGTCAACAACCGTAAATCGATCGATGTGCAAAGTCGATAGGTCCGTCGATACACATTTGTATCGCATAAATCGAAATCATAACAGATCATACATATGTTTGTCTCTTAGGCTGTTCTTTTTTTTTCTATTATCTTTCCAGGAGTCTCTGCACATATCCGTTATAAATTCTATTTACATATATATTTATTTTGAACTCCGAGGTAATATGATGGGGAACTCAATCCAGTGTTATCAAAGAATGGAAAAGTTAGAAAGTTGTCGAAACTTCCTATGACCATGAGAGGATCAAAGTCAGGAGAGAAGTTAGTCGCGTTCGCCTGCTTGAAATGTTCAAATATACATAAAATAAATGAACTGGAATGAATTGAAAGAGGACCGTAAGGAAATGCAATAATGCCTCGACGATAAAATATTAGATTTCTTTTATATTCTCCCAGAATATAATATATACATGTACATGTACAAGACTGTTCAACCGAAACTCACCGGTCGAATTTGAGAACTATCGCGCTAAGCCGATATGGTAGTTGACAAATGGAATGTTGCAGCGGACGAGCAACTAAACCTTGGCCCGTCTTCGTGCCGCAGTGTGTTGCCAAACGGTGATCAAGAAAATCAATTGCATGACAGCTGTCAAATGGGAGCGGCTCGTCTATGGCTGCATAGTTCTGTACATAATATATGCATGTACGTATACATTCTATTACTTATATATATATATATATGTATATATATATATGCATGTGTGTGTGTGTGTGTGTGTGTATGTAAACTTAATATTTATTCTACAGGTTATATTTTACAAGGCGATGTGCGCAAAAATTCAACGTATAATGTGTAGAATCGAAAGTACTATGTTCTGATTAGTCATGAAACCGCAAAGTATTAAAATATGTCGAATCGGTCTGACTTTCGAAAAATAACTCGTACATTCCCGATTATTTTCTACGCAAATACTGTATTGCAAGGAACAGGAAATGCACGAAATAATTCATCTGTATTCTCTGTACAGCTTGAGTGATAAGGCATTAGATTAATGATTACCATGTGATACCTGTCAGAAACTGCGAAAGGTAGGTAAACGAAAGGAATTAGATTGATAAATGCTAATTTTTCCGATGCGTGTCATGTGTTGTCTAGGGCAACTTCCTCGATCGTAGCTCTGCACATTGGACACTCGATCAGCTGCTTCGAGCAGGTAGGGCAAAATCCTCTGAAAAGTAAAGAAAAACTCCATTGCCACGCGACTCCAGTTCCAATCATTTGGCGGAATTTGCAGATCAATCTTACCGATGATCGCACGGAAGCAGTCTTACGGAAGCCTTCCGGTCGAAGCAAAGAGTGCAAGAGTCCTCTCTAACGCTCAATTTCCTCAGCTGGTCCAGATATATGTGCCTCGGAAGAACAATTTTATCCTCTGGATTTAAAGTCGCGTAGTCATTGAACTTTTGATATTCCCTGTCCGTCGGCGGATACTTGAACGGTACATTTCCAAAATTAAAGAGGCATTGCTGAAATGACATAAAACTGGCAGCTGCAAAGAATCCAGACCTACGGAAAAAGTTAAAAATGTCAATGAGCTAAATATTTTCTTATAAGTGTCAAAGTCGTTCAGAGAAAATGTTCGCACTTTGCGGTCTTAAAAACCTGGACGCAAGGCTTTAACGGAATTCCATTCAATGAAAATATTATTTCAAGTTTCTTCAAATCCAACAAACAACCCAAAACATCGCCTGCCTTCCAGCACGGTCTTTCCTGATACTTTTCACTCCTCGCGCTGTGCCAAATCAATCGTCTGCAGCCGTCATAGGCCAAGGAGAATTCGTCATCGCCTATCCCATAACCTTCCTGAAACCCAGAGATTCCTAAGTTACGCATACGTCTCAGACAGAGAAGGAAGGTTCTCTTAGACTCTCACATGATTCAAAAATGTACTGTCTTTGGTAGCCCAACCGATCTGCATCACTCCTGTAGTTATAATGAGCGTTTCGTAATACCAAACACCGGAATCGACTTGAAACGTACAGCGTACACTCTCGAAGGAATAAGCATCGCAGCGCGCCTAAAACAAAGACGACGTCCAATCAAAAATAAATCGGCTAATAGTCCTACGAATAATGAACTAAATACCTCCAAGCCATTAGGTGAAATTTTCAGGTACTCGCTCACATCCTTCGTATTTAACATCACGTTTATGCCAGTCATGTCAACTGTGTCATGAGAGTACTTCCTACCTTCCATTAAAACTAAAACCAGAGAAATCGGAATTAGCACAAACGGACAGCCTCGTTATTGGAACAAGCTGTGTCAAATATTTTTTTTTTAATTCTTACATAAGTTGTCCAAGCACCACTGAGCACAAAAGCCGACTTGACGTCGCACGTAATGGGTCTCTGTTGCCCATTTTTCCAACTCCAACAATGGATTTTCCTTTTCCGCTAATAATCGCTTCTTAATTGTTAATTTGTTCTCACCTAACAATAATGATTAATTAAGAAAATCAATCCCTGAGAATTTTATAAACCTACATTCCATCTACTTACTCGTCTGGGCAAATTTTTCCAAAGCTATTAAGGAATACAACACCACATATGGTTCAATGTCTTCTTTCTGTAAAAATACGCAATTTTCCATCTCCATCCTTCACTTCAAGAAACTTTATACTTTCTTTTTTATAATTGTCGTTTGTATCACTTACAAGATTTGATACCAAATAATCTAAAGTTGCATCGGACAGTATTGCTATACTGCTAGGACCTGCTAATTTTTCTGCTATACATCCAAGTACAACACAAATATTGCGCTGCTGTGTGGCATTAGTTTGCATTTTACCGAATTTTTTAGACAATTGGAACGTATGTGCCAGCCTGAGTACAGAGTCCTGTAAAATCAAAAAATTCAGTAAAATTGTTAAATCTAAATTTACATCATTTAACGAATGAATCTTACCTTAGAAGGTAATGGACAATCATCCAATAACAAAGTAATGACAGATGGGCCCAATGGATTGTGCATGGGTATAACATTCACCATAGAGCTGACAACTTGAATCCATCCGTCCTCTTTATCCGCGATAGCATGCAATTTCAACATTGCTGGTGGTGGCTCCTGTTCACTGAATTAAAGAGAAAGTAATTGTAATTGAATTTAGAAGCAATAAAGATAACAGTCATTTAAATTCAAAAGCAACGTGTAAAGTTTCTTAAAGGAGAAACGCACTTGTCCACAAGAGTTCCAATAACCCCAAGTGTTTCCAACACCAATCTGTCGACAAGGCCCGATATTGGAAATCTTAAACTTGGTGGTGATCCATCGCCTGCAGCAATTGCATCCACATTCGAAACAGGCAAGACTGTGTTTCCACTTTGAGCATGATTATGAGATCTGTATGCATCGTCGTCTTCAGAGGTGTCTTTACACAAACAATTGCCCATTCCCACAGATTGTCAAGAGAACACTGTCTCGTTATGTTGCACTTGCGAATAATTCTTTACAATGCATTTGAATCAGCACACATCATACACTTTTTTCTAATATTCACAATTCCTCTGTAGAAGTAAATAATGTCTTACAGAGCTGTAAGCACAATATATAGTCTAAAGAACTATAAGAGAGGAATAACCACTTGTTAGAAGGAAAAAACGATATAAAAAAACATAACAGTGAGAGTTGAAAATAGTTTAAAATAAAGGCTATTATTATTTTAGGTACATGTTAAAAAAAATATTATTACGAAGAGTTTGATAAGTGGAATTTATCAACTTTTATTTGAATTATCAAACTGACACGTTCCTCTTGATGATTCAATACTACAGAGAAAGAATTTGAAGACTTGTGAAGATAACTTTTGATACGTAACTTTTAAAATGCAAATGTTCCAGTAGTGCATCAAATGATCTCGTTTTATACGAAATAGTGAAATGTCATGTAGAAGCTGTTCAAATGATCTTATTCGGTCTCCGTCGAGGAAAAGAATATTAAGCAATGTCAACGAATAGAAGATTAAAGAAAATTTGTGCTAGGTTATGAATGTCACAAAACTCAAACAAACGCCGAATGGTTGCCTCCGGTGGTTGCGGCCAACACTGGTCAATGTTGATGATTGATGATACCGACAAAAGGAGATATCTCAACGTATCTAAAGATATTTCAAATATTTCACTGGATATCACAGAAAAACACAAACCAACTTGCAGAAACTCTTCTTTCTTGCTGTAAAGCCCCACATCCTAGACCGCAGCCGGAATCAAAGGCATCCATCCGTCAATCTTTTAAATTTATTGGAGATATCCTGATGCTCGTAACGCGATATGCAACCATTTAAGAAAGAAACAGGGACAAAGTCTAAATAAAATTTGTATGTAGCGTGGCTGCTTTAAACCGTTGACCGACACCGCATACATCCATGGGTTGAAGATTTTTAAGAAATAGCAGTTCGCAACGACCATTCACGTAATGCATAAGACAAATAATCGTAGTTGACCGAAAACTTCCACGTCTGACGTTTCTGATAAGCGCCCAACTAATTGTTTTTATCACTTACACCTTGCGTTTTTTCGACTGGCACATTTTATTAATTTTATTTCATCGAAATGTATGTACCGCATCGATCCGAAACATGAAATGTGACGGAATCAGACGGAATGAAGCAGAATGACACGGAACAGCTACCAGCAAAATTGTCAGTCGTGGTAAGTCGTGATTTTGTGACCGCATGTATATACATACATATGCAGGGTTATTCACGCAACTCCAGCTGAAATGGCCCGAATGGGTGATTTCTTGAATCAGAGCAGGGTGGCATCATTAAAGAAATGAAAATTAACGTCATAAAATTGCTAGATCATGTGAATTCGCATTCTTTGATTTGCTTAACAAGGCCATGCTGCCTCGATTATTAACAGAATTGTTCAATCGCGCCCAGCTTCAGCTAGTGCGTTTGCCGTTAACTATATATTATATTTGCAGTGTACTATAGATACATGGGTATGCGTACACGTCATTGCAACGGTCTTCTCGAGGAATCGAATCCACCAGTAAATCACAGCGTATAATTAGTAGTAATCGGTGGGAAGGAGTCTTGTTCAACATTCTTCAACGTCGACAAAACGTTTTTTGTCTTTGTACTTCGATTTTCAGATTGATCTGTTGCTAACCTACAAAGCAATTCCTTGCAAAATACTACTTGTTGCTGCATATAACAATTGACATGGTCTATATATCCGAAGGTAATGACAGGGAAATCTGTTTCGATAATGACAATGTTTCCAGTATGTTTTCGAACGAGTTAAAATAGATTGAATGCATACCTATAGTTCACTAATTATAGATATGCAATACACGTATTTCATTTCTCACCTGACTTCGTTAAAAACATAGCCAATATTGACATTTTGTAATGAATTTTTCAGATGGACGCGTTCTGGAATCCAACCCTTGGAGTTTCAGCAAAATCTACTCGCTTTTTGCAGGATTTTTTTTCATGATTCTCATGTTGTAAGTATAAGTATGTCAAAAATCTGTATTATTATTGAATCAAGGGTGATGAAGTATTAGATAAACATATGATGTTTTCATTACAATATACTGATTCTCAAATACTCTAACGGTTTCTTTTTTGCTATAAGTAAAATTTTATGATGATTAGTTTCAGAACGTTAATTAATCCTGATATAACCAAACATGGTGATCAGTATTCTCGGGACTACAGACCTGGTTCTGGGTAATGTATTCAAATAATCATTATTTTTATAATCTATGTTGAAAAATCTTGTGTCTTGCTGATTCAAATAATAAATGTTTCCATTACAAAATTTCTGGGATAGACCTCCACGTCCACCAAGCCGAAGGATAGGTAGACCGTACACTGGAGAAACTCATAACGTTCCTGGAGGTTGTCGTTCATGCGCCCGGCAGTAATCGAATAATTTTAATGAATTCTATAACATTTTCTATATTTCTATAAATTTATTGCATCTTAAATATGATAATCTTCAATATGTAGAATTACTGCAAAATCATCAAGGAATATAAGGAAAGACAAAATCTGCTTGTAATCCTAATCTCTAATAATATATAGAGAGCCTATTTTTATGTTCGCGAAAAAGTCACGAACTAGTGAACCGATCTTCATCAAATTTTAATACATTATTCTTGATTACTCCAAGACGGACATAAGTTTTGCAGCATCTTCAAAAAATGCCTTATTACCATATAATTAATAGGTTTGTTTTCGTTACCTACACTTTCTGCACTTTTCAAAAAGTGCAAATTCTTATTGTATGATATTTGTAAGTAATCACACGAGAACTTGCCCTTTCTGAAAAATGCAGAAAGTGTAGATTAACGCGAACAAATCTAATGTGAGCATTTTTTTACACTGTACAGCGTTACGTATACTCGGCTCACGCGCGATACCTCGTAAAATTTATTAATTTTCTTAAAAGATAATTTTAACCATATATGATTCTAACGAACATGACTCAGTGACGCTAATATCTCGGGCGAAAACGAGACGGGAAAGAGTAGTATATCATATACTAATTTTAATTTTTACATAAAAAATATAAATTACAATGTTGTGTGTGTGTGTGTGTGTGTGTGTGTGTGTGTGTGTGTGTGTGTGTGTGTGTGTGTGTGTGTGTGTGTGTGTGTGTGTGTGTGTGTGTGTGTGTGTGTGTGTGTGTGTGTGTGTGTGTGTGTGTATTTAACATATAAGATGTTGACAAAAGCTGTAACAATATTATCATTACTTGTATTCCAATGATTTAATATATCTGAAAAATAAAGAGAATAATATAAGAGAAAAGGAAGAGGATTCACTTTTATGCGATACATACCTTGGTAACCAAACCAGCTGCAACAGTGGTACCTGCAACGCGAAGCATTACCCTGCCAAGCTGCTTTACATCTTTGTACAATTCCATACCAATCGGCCGTTGTGTTCTGATTTCAACTATTGCGCTCGAGTTTTTTGGAAGGCATCGTGGTTTTTTTTTAATAATTTCGCCGGTACCTCTGTGAAGTTGTGCTATCAATCTGACTATGACTGCCGGTTCAACGAGGGATTGTTGATGCATCACCACTGGAAGGCCTTTGGTAATTGGTGTCGCGACCGCGAATAGAACAATATGTGCTTCGAATCGCGTCGTTGTTCGCACAGGATATTGAGGAGTGCAAAGAATGTCTCCCACAGCAACACTCTGCTGTTCGATACCCGATAAAGTCAATGCCACATGATCGCCGGCGAACGCGCTCGTTATTGAAATGTCATCAATTTGCAAACCTGTAGCAAACATGAGATTATTGATAGGTCACAATTAGAGGAATTGGAATCAGTATCGTTTTCAGGTGTAAAACAGCGAAGCGCTGATCTGAATTTAAAAGCATTAAGTTAAATATGAAAACACTAATATCGAACCTCTTACGAGCGCAACTTCATTGTAGGGTAATACAAGGACCTTGTCACTCACGGAAACCATCCCAGTTTCAACGTGACCGGAAACACAAAATCCAGAACCAGTTCCTTTGAATATATCATTGACGGAGAAGCGAAATGGTTTATTTATAGGTCGTTCAGGACATTTGAAACTGTCGATTACGCTAACCAGTGTCGGGCCTGTATACCTAAATACCGGTAAACGGTAATCCCATTAATTCATAAAGGGTTTAGATCCTTGAATTATAGAAGAGGATGCTCTTACAAAGACAATCCGCCTCACCCACCAACTTGACAATCCTTCCTCTTTAGGTTCCATGACCAAATTTTCGCCCGACAAACCGCTACAAGGTACAAAAGGCACAGCATCCCTGAACCCAGCCTGCTTCAGAAAGATATTCATCTTTTCGACTATCTCATTAAATCTTTCCTTTGACCATCCAACCGTATCCAGTTTGTTAACCACTACTGCCAATTGGGTGATGCCTGAACGAGAAGCATGCCAATTAAATACAACTTGCTGAGAATTATCATTATATGATTAATTACATTATCACAACTGGAGAAATTACCAAGAGAGCGTAACAATAGCGCGTGTTCTCGAGTCTGTCCACCACTGTCAAATCCTGTTTCAAATTCACCCCGAGTTGCATCAACCACCAGCAAGGCAACGTCGGCCTGCGTAGCACCGGTGATCATATTCGGTATAAAGTCTTTGTGCCCAGGTGCATCCAAGATTGTGACAGACTTGGTGGCAGTTTCGAATTTCGAATGTCCCACGTCCATTGTAATACCACGTTCTCTGAAAACACGATACGCGACCAAATCAGAAGGAATAAGAAGACAAAAATAAAGTATCGAAGCACAAACACTGACCTTTCCTCGCCAGTCTCGTCGAGGACCCATGCGTACGCGAATGATTGCTTGCCAATTTTCTTGCTCTCTTGCTGGTACTTGTGAATAAGTCTTGCGGGCACTTGGTCCAGGTCGCAAAGAAGTCTCCCGAGCAGGGTACTCTTACCTGCGTCTACGTGTCCGACGACCACAAGATGCAACTGTTCCTTTGCATCGCCACGCTTCTTCCTATAGGCTGTCATCGCGTCGATTTTATTCTCGATGCTTAGACTTTTTTCTCGACATTTGGATTCGGACTCGGGCGTTGCACGACCTGAAGCCGGCGACTGACATCTCGACGGCGTATTTGATTTTGAAGAGGAAACGATCAAGGTCCTTTTGTCTTTTTGATTTTGATCGTCCTTTCGTTTGATATCCGGAGAATTTTGACCGGATGACGGACTCTGCGAGCGTGAGCTGCTGCTAATTCTGGAGTGCACGAGGTCAGAATTGTCGGAGCCGCTTAAATCGAATCCTTTAACGATGGACCGTGTTGCAGCTGGAACCACCCTTACTGCAGGAGACACTCCGGTTTGGAACGGTGCTGCCTTCGAGGCTGTCTTATTACCTAATGTCAAACACTGTGTCAAGCTTCATTCCTCATTTTTATGACTTATGCTATAATACATCCTTCTCTATATAATATTTGTAACTACTATAGGTCCTAATATACGCTGTCTTTGTATTTACTCTAGCTAATCATTATTCAAGATTCAGCACGTTTTATTTAAGCGTTATTTTTCTTTTGCCGACAAACTTCGTCACACTCGTGCACATTTACAGTATTTTCGTACGAATCGCCAGTTTTTATGTGCCTAGGATTTAGTCAACTAAATGAAACACGCATGCATCGAGGTGTGTTGGCACAAATGAAAAACATTCAATGAGTGGAATTTAAAAATAATAAAACCGTGGACAATTTTTCGCGCATTTGCGTTTGTGAATATGATACAATTTACGGTTGCAACACTGATTGCGGCAATAAATATATTGAAATACATTTTTACAAGGCAATAGCTAATCGAATTTCCATGAGTATGAGGAATTGTGATTGATCATCTGTTACTTAGTTTCTTATTGACACGTAAGCGCATCGCGCTTCTCGTCTCTCCTACACAGATTTGCAAGGATAACGCTGTCGGGGGACGGACTATGAAAATCAAAAGGTTCCACGGTGTTTAACTGCTTCCTTGGACTTCTGATATAAGACTTTCTAGAATTCCACCTCTTACACAATGTCTTTCCAAATAAAGATGCTACTTTCTTCGAGTACGAAAGCTCAGCATGTTGCAAATTACTCAAATCTAAGTTACACTCGTGTTCGAGATTAGTCAACGCGCCGGGCAACGGAATTACATCGTCAGCGTCGATAGAGAAATCTAACGAACAACCGTCGCTAATTGGAAACATCCATTCTGTCCTGGACGTGTCTCTAGAGGGAAGTCTCGCCGCCGCAGGTACGCTTTCCCTGAGAGCGTTACTCAAATCGATCACCCAGTTATCGGGGGACGGTGTTCTCAAACCTTCCTCCACTGTACTACTACTTTTATCTCTATCGGCCGACATGATACCAGTTTCCGAAAAACTTTTGCCCAATCCTTCAATCGTATTCTCATCATTACACAGAGCAGGCACGTGCGATTCTGGTATCGTCTGATCCCCCATCGGCGTAACCAGTGTCCCATGAGTCTTCGCAGAGTTTGACACATCAGCAGAAAGTGGACCGAATTTTTTACGAAATTTCGGTATAACGAAACTCGAATTCGTTTTAGATACTGTTATAGGTCTTTGCGCAATCACGGAACTACTTGAATTTTGTAAATGGTGTGATGCAAGATCTGCCAACGACGCAAACGACTGCGTATTTTTGACAGGCAGAGAGGGAGGCGATGCTGACAATGCATCCATTGTTTTCGGACGAAAGTCTGTGTGCTTATTCACAATGTCACTTGAAAATACCGAAGGAAACTGCTTATTCATAAGTGCATTATTTTTTAAGTTGATCGAAATTTCTGAAGACTTTTGAGAACTACGTTTGTCAAGATAGTCGGCGCTGAAGAGCTTATTTCTTGGAAACTCCGCATTCACTGCTGAGGCAGTATTAGATTCTACAGAAGATGAGGTCAATGCATGAACAAGACCGTGCGATCTACCGATTAAGGAACCCATACCTTACCAGCGAAGTAGTGTGGCATTACATGAAACAGAAATAAGGAAATTCAAATCGATATCATTCTCTTCTACATTATGACTGTTGTCCACTTTTTCATAACCAATGGAAATTTTCAAATAGTATTCACAAACTACATACTACTTTCCTTTTTCCATGGGAAGTAGAAAGTGTTAAATATATATATTTGAAAAACCTCCCATTTAAAGAACTTTTATTGAATTGAAATATACCTTGATATGCATCTGGTTGTTCTGAATTGGCCACACAATCTGCAAATATCAGTATGGCTATGCAATAACCTCCTTTGCTTGAATTAGAAAAGAATAAGAGATTTTTTTAAGGCAGATATTACCGGTCGTATCCTTTGGTGAAGATTCTTTTAAAATTGCATCCAGTGCTGCCTCTGTATTGAAGTTTGATTGCAGAATCTTTTCAATGAGAGTTGAGTCAGAAACTGTGTCACCTATCACATTTCTAATGGCTTCGATGCAAGATGACAATTTGGCTGCATCCAAATTTGAAAGTTCTGTGCTTTTGTGAGTAAAAGAAGTTCCAGGTGGTACTAAAGTTGTTGTGTTATCCATGTCCTCATTACCCTCAACAATATCTTCTTCCGTGAAGTAAGAGGCAATATTTTGCCGTTTATTTCGGTCAAACATGAATTGCTCGGCTGTAATATTAATAAGATAGAATTGTAGAATTGTGCTATAAAGTTAACCCTATATTTTCAATGTCTAATAAAAGAACTCAATTATCATCCAGTTAATGAAATATTAATGATCAAGGTAGGACAAAATAAAGATGTTAAAATTAGTAAATTAACCTATGCATTAAAATATATTTTTAGAAAGCTTGATATCTAAGACATTTACTGTAAAAAAATGAACATCATTTAAGATATACTTATTGAGAAATTACTTTTAAACGGAAGGCATGCAATGGCTGTCTCTCTATTTTGCATGCTCTTTTTCCCAATCTATAAGAGCTAAGGAAAAATAGCAGTGCAGATTGCGCATGCAGTAAGCATTACAATTTATTAATGAGAACAATTATTTATTAGTATTAAATTCACATTTTGGGATATATTTTTCTATTTCTTTATGGAATGTAACACACTGCATACAGCTATAGATTTGACTTTAGTCAAACTCAAACATATTACTTTAAGGCCACTAGAATAACATGATGCTATATTCTATTGATCTTGAATAATACTTACCACTAGGAGAAACACAATAATCATCCTCAACAGAATGACCATAAACATCGTCATACCCATCATATTCTGCAAAAAATAACGATTTCATATTGAACATAAGGATTAAGCGGAATAATAAACAATTAAATATTTTCATATATCGAATTGGTATTTTGTGAATTTGTTAACCTACAATTTGAACCGAGAGTACATACCATCTGAATAATTCATAGATCGTACATCCCGATGACGAGACATTTTTTGTATTTATTTAATTTGGCTATTAGATGAAAAATTAATCAAAATAGTCTAAACAGCAATTGGAATCAAACGGACAACAGCTAACAGCTAACAACTGTGAAACTGCAAGGTGCTGCAACGAAACTGCGAGAACCTTCCCTTCCTTCCTTCCTTCCTTTTCTTATAACTAACTCCTCCAATGAGGAGATGTGCCAGAACTGCGAGAACCCTTCCTTCCTTCCTTTCCTTATGGCTGTATCCCCAATGGGGGACATGTGCCAGTAACTGGTCCTAATAATCAAGGTTGGAAAGTTTGACAATAGATGGCGATGTACCTTGCGAGACGGTCGTGAGGGGACCTACAAAGTTTATACACCGAATCCGAACAGTGTTGGGCGAAATCCGTATAAATACTCACTTAAGTTTTCATATGAAAACCCATTGGTGAATGCCGCTGGAAGCTGGGCGCGAACCTCCAACCTTTCGGTCGTGAATCCACTACCCTATCCACTGGGCTACGGCCGCCCCAACTGCGAGAACCAGCGCGTAGTAAAAAGAATCATGAACCAAGAACAGTAAAGGCAGCTGATAGATAAAATCAGTCGGAGTGCTTTCACATACCTTCTGTTGATAAAAATAAATTCATATATATCGACAATTACTACATTTCTATCATGGAGGGTTAGATATAAGAATAACCAACACGTTCGTGTATTCTCTAATGTTCCACATTATTGGTTAATCCTACTTAAATACTGCAACGTGGAAATGTTGTCAACATTTAACATTCAGAAAGTCCTTATTTCTATATCTACTAAACCATTAGATCACGATATATATACAAAGTTCCATTCTCCTGGCGGTCCAGAGATGAGCAGGGAGATTGCCAATGTTTTTTTCATCTATGTGAAGTTAGCACTGTCATGTATTTTTTGAATTTTTTCTTTTGCTAAAATATTGTTGGTATTTTGTTGGTTTTTGTTGGAACAAATAGAAAACTTGTTGGTTGCTCATTTTTTTTTTGGAAAATCACTTTGTGAAATATGCAGAAAGTGTAGGTAACAAGACAAACCTAATCAGCAACTAACCAGTGACTATCAAACATCACTGGCCACGACTGTAATTGACTGACTATCACTGATTGTGAGTGAATAATGCGACTACAGAGATGGGTAGGTAACTATGGGTGTATTCGCAGTCTTGCATACATATGATGTGGGAACGATGTGGGTATGACATGGGTATTGGTATTGCATAGTGTTGTCTGGCATTGCCTCAGAAATGTCAAAAATATATATTTAATTGACATAAATCAAGTAAATCATTACTGCCCTTAAAAGGTTAGCTAATGCAATCCTCTAAATGTTTCTAGATTCTGTTTAAAATCTGTCTTTGTCAATTAGTTGTTTTTTGTAATATCGCGTCAAAAGAGAAATGACAAAAGTATTATTTAATGTGTCAGATTATACCCGATTGTACTGCAACTTTACTATTGCGCACTTATCTATAAATTATTTAAAATTTCTAAAATTATTGTAGCTGAAAGCGTTTATAATTGTAATAGTATGTAAACAGATATTGGATCATGGAATGTTATTGTTATTAATATATTTCTTTGTGCATTGTGAACTTGAATCATAAATGTTTGTTGCACATATTTTCTCATAAATACTATCTTTTATATGAAGTTTAATAATATTTCTTGTCTGATACTTGTGCGACAGTTTTACTCAGTCTATGACCAAGACATCATCACCAAATAGCATTCCCTGCTAGTGAATTAACAATGCGGTTCCATCATGCTGCAAGAGAGAGAGAGAAATTCTGAAAGCACAATGGAAGGTTTGTTATTGTAATATATTGTAAGCTAATGCAAGCGTAATGACTCTTAAAAAGAAAATATTTATATTATCATATGCATGCAACTACATTGTTATTTAAATCTTATCTAAATAGTGACAAATTTATGATTACTGTATGGAGATACATTTCCATGTACATTTTTCCAGAAAGTGAAAATCGGACATTACCAGGACATGATGTGCAAAGTGGTAAGCTGAAATATTACATTGTACTTATTACATTACTTAAGTTCAGGTTCCTTCTTTATATTTTATTTACTCCATCATTGAGTTCTTCTAGTTTGTCTATGTATTCTACCTTTGCATAAGTCAATGAAAAAGCAAGCGCCAAGCTTGACATAATTAAATTAGGGTATGTCATGGGCATCTGTTACGTTACAGACTAGGGCTTCTTCTAGTAGCATGTATTGTTATATGGCTGAAATTATGAACACTTCAGATTCTGCATAGACTCAATTCTTTCAACGTGGCTTTTTTTTGATAGTTTGAATCTGTAGTGGAAGATCTGAGTATATTTCCTTTATGTCTGATCAGAAGCAGCTGACTCAAGAGCAGGACATATCGAAAGTGTACAAGAAGGAGCATCATCGATTATTGGACAAAGTATTCCTGGGCCATGTCAGCAAGATCTATTTGCAGCTCATGGATCCGTTCAGGGAGAAAGTAGCGATGCTATTAGCGTTCATACTGTCAGTACGTCGGTGTCTGGTAATGGTAAATATTACACTCTAGTGCACAAAACGAGAGGGTCAGTGTATAAAAGGTATTTCAATATTATAACCTTCATGACCAATTTTTTGTAGAATCAAGTTCAAGTAGAGTGAGTGTAGCTACAGTAGTATTGCCTTGGGGTGCTCAAAAGGAGACTGTTAAAAGTCAACAGGTAGGGGACATGGATTTGAGGCCTGGTGAATTCGTTATGCGAACATTATTTGGGGATTTTACGATGCAAGCGGAAAAAAAAATGGAGGCTGTTATGACGGAACACGTAAGTACTGCAATAAAGAGTTTCCTATTATATCTTAAGTATTGTTACATACGAATTCTACAAATAAAAATGAAACTCATTTAGAGATACAGACATTACATGGACAATAAAGTAGTTCAATTCTATCCAAATACAATTGGATGCTGAAAGAACATTATTGTTTCTCTCTAGGAAAAGCCTCTCTCCAAAGTGTTGCAACGAGGGGAGGATGCTCAATTTGACCAACTTCTTTCTGCATTTGGGTCTGTAGCAGAGCATTGTTTGCCTTCGATTCTAAGAGCGCTCTTCAATTGGTACGAGCGACAGCTGGTCGATCATGGGACGGATCAGAAAAAAACAATCCCAGGCAAGGAAGATCAAAAGGGAAAGAGGTAATATTCTATCAGGTCGATAATATTCTTCTAGTGTCGTTTCACTTTAAAAAATGTTTTTAATGTCTTATACACTAACAAAAACGATAATTATCAGTATTATGTATACAATTGTATCTGGGAGCGTGGAAACTGTGGAACGAAGCGAAGCAGATTTACTACAGGAACGACGAGACCTTGCGGTTGAGTTCATATTCTGTCTGATGTTAATTGAAGTTCTGCGTCAATTGCCCTTCCACCCAGGACACGAGGATCTCTTAGTTTATATTGAGAACATCGCATTTAGGCATTTTAAATACAGAGAAGGGTAAGTGCAGCGGATTTAGTTCTGGTGCGATACCGCAAGTACCAAACGATTTTAGAAATAAAATAACCAGATAGAAATTCTAACGGTTTTATGCTTCTCTCTTTTTTTTTTAGAATACAAAACGAACCGAATGCCGGGAACATTCATATTATTGCAGACTTGTATGCTGAAGTGATAGGAGTTCTCGCACAGTCTCGATTTATGTCGGTAAGAAAAAGATTTATGGTCGAGTTAAAGGAACTACGTGCCAGAGAGCCTGGGCCGCATACTACGCAAAGCATAATTTCTTTGTTAATGGGTATGAAGTTTTTCAGGGTGAAGGTACGTGTTTTTCGCTCCATCCACTTTCTCATGCAATGGCTTGGGTGAGGTAGGATACAGCTTGTTCATTTGCAGATGGTTCCAATAGAAGAATTCGAGGCATCCTTTCAATTTATGCAAGAATGTGCTCAATATTTTCTAGAAGTCAAAGACAAGGATGTCAAACACGCATTGGCAGGTCTCTTTGTTGAAATTCTCGTTCCAGTGGCTGCGGTGGGTTTTCCGAAATACAGTTACATCTTTGAGTTTACTTGAAAGATTAGGGCTATTTTATTCTTTGCCAATTTGCTCATTAGCCCCTCTTAAATTCAGGCTGTGAAGAACGAAGTAAATGTTCCATGTTTGAAGAACTTCGTCGAAATGTTGTACTCGACGACATTGGACATGTGCACAAAGTCAAAACATCGACTGGCACTTTTCCCATTGGTGACATGTCTCCTCTGTGTCAGCCAGAAGACATTCTTCCTTCAAAGTTGGCACTACTTTCTGGCTATGTGTCTATCCCACTTGAAAAATCGGGATCCTAAGATGTGTCGCGTCGCATTGGGTAAGGCTGACAATCTTTGTGATGTCACCGAGAATCACCGAGATGGTAATACTAAAAATTTCTACGTCTTACAGAGGCTCTCTATCGTTTACTTTGGGTCTACATGATTCGTATTAAATGCGAAAGCAATTCCGCTACGCAGAGTAGATTGCAAAGTATAGTCAACTCTCTCTTCCCAAAAGGCTCAAAGGCCGTTGTACCTCGAGATACTCCTCTCAATATCTTCGTAAAGATTATTCAGTTCATTGCTCAAGAAAGATTAGATTTTGCAATGCGAGAGATCGTCTTTGACTTGCTCTCGGTTGGTCGGCCGGTCAAAATAATTCTGACGCCTGAGAGAATGAGCATTGGACTACGTGCCTTCTTAGTGGTCGCGGACAGTCTGCAGCAAAAAGAAGGCGAACCGCCAATGCCACGCACGATGGGCGTACTACCTAGTGGAAATACTGTCCGCGTCAAAAAGACTTTTTTGAATAAGGTGAGTAGCTCAGGAACGTTAAAGCCTTTTTTAAAACCGTGACATCGTCCCATTGAAACTTCCAGATGCTTACTGAGGACACAGCCAGGAGTATAGGCATGTCCTCGTACTTTCCGCATGTGCGTCGTGTATTCGTAGATATTTTGCGGGCTCTCGACGTTCATTATGGACGGCCTTTAATGATGACGAGTACTCAGAACATGAACAAAGAACCAGACGAGATGATTACTGGTGAGCGCAAACCGAGGATAGATTTGTTCCGTACTTGCGTGGCTGCTGTACCACGTCTCATTCCTGACGGGATGACTGGGGCAGAGTTGGTCGACATGCTCTCGCGTCTTACTGTTCATATGGATGAGGAACTACGTGGCCTGGCTTATCAGAGTCTTCAGACACTTGTTCTCGATTTCCCGGATTGGCGGCAAGATGTCGTCTTTGGATTCACTCAGTTTCTTGCAAGGGACGTCCAAGACACTTTTCCACAGTTGGTTGACAACGGATTACGAATGTTGCTTCAATTGCTAACCAGTTGGAAGAACGCGCTATCGAGCCCTGGATCTTCGGTACGATCTAAGGACCAAACCATAGATAATGTACGGAGTAACATTCGCCCCTCCGATGTCACTGGAAAAAAGACATCTGAATCCTCTCAGGTTCGACTCTCTTTAGATACTTCTGTAGCTTTACTATCCTCTAACGTGTAATGCTTAATACAGAAAACCGAGCCAGTATCGACTGTTTTTCATCTTGTCGAGGGCTTCGCATTGGTGATGCTGTGCAACTGTAGATTGTATCCCCGTCGGTTAGCTGTTCATATCTTACGGGAGATTAAACTTCTCCTGAAGATGCTGGGTAAGAACTATTTATTCGTTGTTGTTTGATACTTCAAATTTATGATACGAAATGAAGAATAGATAAAGACATATTTGTATTTTTGACAGGTGCTCTCGAAGATGATCAACCAGTGATCGACGTGATGGACGCTTGCTGCCCACTTGTACTCGAGAAATGCTATCACATGTTACCACCAGCGGAAAAAGCGGCAGCGACGTCGACGTCAAATGTCGACCTACAATGGATAGCCGAGAGAAGTAGCTGTGTTTGGACCGCAGGTGGATTATAGTATCTGCAAGATCAAGTTGCAGCCATATAGACATGTATTTTTAATAACTCCAAACGTTTGATATACAGGCTTTCACGATGAAAATAGTACAAAAAGTACTTCATCGTTGAATTTAAATGGAGCAGATCCTTGGAGCAGCTGCTTATTCGGCTTCCTTGAGAAGGATCGAGTTTTAACTCTATGTCCCAGCGCCGTGGCTCATTCTTGGCCGATAGTCTTCACTAGAATAAACTCCCTTTTTGCCGTTATCGATCCCACGTAAGATTGCGTGTTGCTGATGCTGATCTTGTACCGATATTGACGATTGTATGTGTCTCAACTTTTGTTCCTTTCCTTTTAGGCCAGTCAATGATAACAGAGCCTCGCTCTTACGCAGTTCGAACACTGTACGAAAACCAGTAAATGAGAGAGACGTCTACATGCATGTCTGGAAGAACTACTTGACCTTCGGGTATCGCGTTGTACCGCCGATTCCAAGTCCGGTTGTACGTTGCGCCAGCCCAGATCTTAGCCTCAGGTATGCTGATCACCCGCTCTTCTTCTCTTTCTCTTAATCTATGATCGCCATGCACAGCAATCTGTCAATTCTTAGACCTCATTCTGAGTATCGTTCAAGTAGGAAGTGCATGATCAAAAAATATTCATAAAAAATCCGTGTTTGAAGAAGTTATGGAGAAAAAGAAAGAGGAAAAGTACTCGCAAACGATATAAATATATCGTCTAAGAGTTACTTTATGAACATTATGATATTTAAAATTAATTGGTGTTGGATCTTGTCTGCTTATGTCTGTTGTGCCATACCATCTGTCCAACTAAATCGCATTTGGCGACTATACCGCGAATAGCTTGCTTTTAATCAGTTGTCAGGGTCATTCGTGCATCCACCTGTTGACCTATCCCCTCTCGTATTTCCACTGTGTGTTATACATTATTATTGGCCTTTGAATGCCTAGCGTATGCCAATGCATACTTGTTTTCTCTTATTTTCCATGTTTACTCATCTAACCATTTTCATCTTTCCATCCATTTCAATATTCAGCCTATGTCCAAAAGATTCTCGTTTGTCTTCAATCCGGAATTAAATTTTCTGAAAAAATGAATAATAATTGGATGCCGAATGAAAAATTAAACGATGAAGTAGGAGCTAGAATAGGATGAAATAAGGATGCGAGAGGACATGTTACAGAATTCATTGGATTATTTCTTGTGAAGTAGAAAAGCTATCAGCTTTATTATAGAGAAAGAGAGTTTTTTCAAGTTGGCACGTAGCTATAATTGTGTCGCGTCTCACGTGCTGTGGGGTAGAGTAGATTTCGAAAGTAAATAATGTCTTTGATACAAGAAGCATTGGTGGTACACTGTATTGCATACTCTAGTGGTCAGCATACGGTGGAGTTTGGTGTGTTGTGCATGAGTAAGGAGTTGAGTCAGAGCCTGGAGAACCTCGGCGGGGCGCAGACCCTGCCGGGCCGCTTTTCCGTACCATCGATTTCCGGCATCTACACCAGGCATAAGCGGACCAGGTGAGCTACCTATTGACCGTCCCAAGGAACCTACCGAATTTTCACGATTTAGATTCTGCTGTGTTCTTCGTACACGATCTTTCATTCGATGAATCTTTTTTTTTTAAATGCTTTCCTGTTCCTAGCCACTTTGTACGTAACGTATTACCTCTTGAATGCATCTGAGGTGTACTTGTGTATACTTTACCTCGGTAAGGTGTTCGAATGAAGGTGCACGTACTAACAGAAAGTTACGCTCCTAGAGCGGAAGAATTGGCCACCTTACATGAAATGTATTGAAAGCGGAAGAATGAGTCCAGCGAGATTATTTTTTTTTATCACAGCTCCTCGCCGGATAGCCTCTCTGCTGAGCGAGGCGACAACAAATCACCTGGTTCTAGCGCGAATCCGGCTGCCCTGTATAAATTGACGGTGCCACTACTTAGATGCGAGGCGGTCGACGTGCGGGATGCTGCCGTCCAAGCTATTGGAAAAGTCAATGCGGAGGCTTTGAAGTAGGTTTTTTTTTTCACACACAGAATTTCACTTACTGATCGCTCGTTATTTCTAGGGACTTAATGGAAGAGCTAGTCCCCTACATTCGCGAAGCTGTAGATAGGAAGCAAGAGAATATGAGAAGGAGGCGACGCCGAGATGCTCTGAGATTGCAGCTGGTGCGAGTCCTCGAGCTGATTGCTGAATATGGCACATTTGGAATCTGGTTTGTACACTTCTTGTGAATGCTGAAAAATACTAGTATTCGGCAAACTCGAGAGTGACAATGCAATTGGTTGTTTCAGCCCAGCAGTTCTGGATCGAGAGACTCAGTCGTTACATCCTACTTTTATCGAATACATCGACGGTGCCCGACTTTACCTTGAAAATGAAACTGACAAAGAAGCACCAGCAATTAGAGATATTAAGTTGCACTTTTGCAATTTCATTCGAAAGATGATAAAGAGCTTTTCTCGTGAGTAGTTTGTCCGGATTGTACACATCGACTACCCATTACCTTTTTCTTATGCTAAAATTATGAACGACCTGTGCTTTATACTCGTTTGCCCCACAAGAGCCTGCCGAAAGTTGCTCCATGTTGACCGATAGACATCTCAATAAGTCTTTATTTCTTGTTTTCAGTGGAAACTTGCTATGCGCTCCTTAAGAGAGAATTACGTCGCAATTTGTTTACACTCTTTGCAAGCTGGGCAGGTCCTTACGGACGCCCTCTCACGTCTACGGCGTTTACCAACGAGGAGGAGCGATTTTTTTCTGACTTGCAACTGTTTGCGCTGCAGGCGATGAGCGGGCTGCTGTGTTGCGGTCCATGTTTTAATCCCCAATCGTTGTCTGAAGAGGGAGCGATACTTTATCAATGGCTCGATCTCCTCTTAGCAAGTAAGGATGAGAAGGTCAGTGACAACGTCATCCATTCGAAATGAGAGATGTAGAATGCAGTAGATGCAGAGCATGATCTGCAGGCTCTGATGACATACAGTTATTATCAAATATTTTAATGTGTTTCTATAGATTTACGCCCTCGGCCGTGAGACCGTAGTCTTACTGCTTGAGTGTAATCCCGACATCGGTGCTCTGCTTGATTGGGTTGTCGATCGTTGTTATACTGGTGCTCCACAAGTAGCCGACGGATGTTTCTTAGCCCTGGCGACAATTTTCAGTGCAAGGTAGGAACTTATCAATGCTTGGAAGTAGCCGTCATATCGACTGACTGACCGCCATATCATTAAATGAAGAGGAATAGTATGTGGGAGTTGTAAGGTTAAAACATGCTTCGTACATTTATTTTTTCTAGAGAGTATCCTTGTGATCATTACACCAGTGTCATTAACGTCACGTTGATGAGCACAGGATGTCCGCGCGCTTTGGTTCACGATGCGGCCCTTCAGCTTCTACAACTACTGGACCAAAGATTCTTTGGCAATGTCGGACCGCTGCCTACTGTCGATTCCGAGACTGGTTGGTACTTGGTTAAATACTTGGTATTATTAATGTGCTGTGGCAGTTGCGACATGCAGAATGTCTGTGTTTGTTTGACGAGACCAGACGCAGAGAATACGTATTGCGGCTCTTCTAAAATTCTGGCCACTTACACAATATAAAACAAAATTCATCGCGAAATTTGTATGGAAAAGCAAATTGCAAACGTGCTGGAGTACGACGATGGTTCGCGGTGGATCTGCATCGTCCTGAAAGTCAATTCATTATATTTATACCAGTCTCGTTAGCAGACCCTTTGAGTGAACGTACCTCAAGAAAAGCGCGAACTCTCATCGCATAAGCAGGTAGATTGAAAAGTAGAAAAACTGTAGACACGACGAGCAGCATCTTCGTTACTTTGGTTTGAGATGCGACGGCAACAGCGGCGGAACTTTGCGTAGATTTTATGCTGTTAACTATGACTGTGGTGTCGTTTCTTGGGAATCCAGCTTCTTTCGAGTTGCTGGTAGGGTTGACGTCGACAGTAAGACTGTTAGCAGTGATCGCGGAGGCTGCTTGGGCGCAAGAACTTTCGAGGGATATAGACGAGTTACGAGGTCGCGAGTGCAGACGTGGATGTGGTTGAGGAACTGAAGAATTAAGCGAAGAGGATGGCTTCGCGTTGCGGAGGACACTGGAAATCATGGCTCGGCGAATACGAGCGAGGCGCCAGACTGCCTGAGCGATCTGTGCGTTTAAGAGAGCGATTACGGAAAATGGTAAAACAAATGTTGTCAGGGTGTCGGCAACGTTGAAGATGCTCGCCCAATCCTCCCACTCATCAGCTAAGTGGCAAAGGGCAGTGGCATTATGTCGCGTTTCGCTGGACGGCCGTGAGCTCGAGAATAAAAGTACAGGGCTGCAAAGCACAAGGCCAAGGATAGTTAAACCAAGAAGGACAGTCTTTGCTCTAGTTGTGGTGCACATGGACTGTCGCCTCAAGGGGTAACGTACTACGATGAATCTTTCGACGGTAAATGCTACGACGAACCACACGCTGAGGAAACTGCAGAGTGTTGTTAAGTAAATAAAAAACTGGCAGAAGCCTTGTTGATTAAATAATCCCACGTCCACCAAACCCAGCCAAACAACGAAGAGTGCAACAAGGAATCCAGTGTCACTGATTGCTATGGCCGCCAGATAGAAGCTCGAGGAGGATCGTCGCATTTCCGCCGAGAGGAGAACACAGACTGAGAGGCAATTTCCAAGGACTCCCAAGTACACTAGGATAGGCGTGTAATACATTTGCAAGCCGTGCATCACTTGCTCGGCAATACCCGTTTCACTTTCAAGCTTCTTTGTCGTCATCCTGTTAGGTTTTTGTATTTCTCCTTTTTCTTCCTCTTCGTTCGTCGTTATTTCGTAGACGGTGAATAATAGCTAAGCCACCTACGGCGAACCTCAGTGCTCTATGATTGTCGGCCAACTGAGGGCCTCTCGGCAGTCGGCTGCTTCTTTTAGACCTGCGTACATTTCTCACTTTTCGTCATAAAGTCCCTCCTCCAAATACACAACGTTCAATTTTACTCTTACATCGTCGTGCCTGTATAAGTGCGCAAGCTCTCGCACTCGTATGACATTGCAAAAGATACTGATCTTCCGATTCTAAATAATTTTAGGATGTTCGGATGAACACGTCACCGGGCCTGCAACCGAACAAAATGCTGGAGTTGGAGCAACCGCCGTCGGTAACGGTGTCGTTAGGTCTGGCACACTCGATGCCATCCTCTCTACCACCTACTGCCGCAGCCAAATGTATCTTTCTCGGCAGCTGGCCCACTTGCATCCCGAACTCACCATGCCGATGTTTAGCGGTAAGACTTATTAACCTCTTTGAAGATCAGAATGAACGAGACGAATCCTAATTGTTGTTTTATCGCAACGAAAAGAACAGTGAGAAATGCAACTGAATGAATCAATCTCTGCAGCATGCAAATATTTCACTATAATTATTGGCGTTTATGACCTCATTTAACTGTCTCATTGTCTTTCTATTACTTTATGTTTGTTCAAAATTACCACATGCAAAAGTTGAACAAACGCTAATATTGGTAGTACTGGAAGCAATTAAGCGTTAGGTACTTAGGGAACCGGGCGTTACTTGTGTAAATATTTCCATCTGGTAACGGAAGTGGCCTCGATGTGTCAAAACATGAGTGAGCAACTAGAGTGTCCAGAGAAATTATAATCGTAAGAGAAAATAAAAATGGTATAATATATAGGACAGATAATTAATGGATGTACTTTACATTGTAGAAATCACTCACAGATTCCAAACTGCTCGCCGCGAGGTTCGCCAGCTACTTCTTCAATATTTATTACCGTGGTTGCATAACATGGAACTGGTAGACTTAAATGTACCACCTCCTTCGAATCCTTTGAGCTATTACCAGGTAGACATTTTAAAAGCATGAAAAAAGCTTCAGTGCAACATTTGGCAATTATTTTGATTGGCAAAAAAAATATATATATCTTTCTTTACAGTATTATGCAAGTGATGTAAATCGTGGTATTGGTGGAGTTGCCGGGAACTCGGGAATCGGCGGAATTGGCTCCGGAGGCCGAAGAGAAGGCTGGGGTAGCGCTGAAGCCACCGAAATGGTCCTCAATAATTTGTTCTACATTACAGCAAAGGTTAGTATTTTTACATCTGTAATATCAACATCATAAAATTTAGCTAAACTATACTAATCGTGCGAATAATAATATGCTATAGTTCTGAAGGGATCGTTTTTCTCAAGTTCCGTGGATTCTCATTTTTCTATTACAGTTTGCCGATGAACATCCCAAAGAGACAGAGGAACTCTGGGGTACACTTTGTGGATGTTGGCCCAACAATCTTAAAGTAATAATCCGCTACCTGATAATCGTATCCGGAATGGCGCCCCAAGAATTATTACCATACGTGAGTAAACGACTATGCAAAACTTGTTCGATAATGATATTGCTTATGCAAAAATGCGAGAACGAATAAGCTATGTGATGGAAATTAGGATCACATTGCTCTTTAAAGGCTAAGCGTGTAGTGCTGTATCTGGCTCGAGCACGTCCGGAACGTCTCGTCGACGAAATGATGACGGAGCTCCAAACAGTCGAAACTCTAAATTGCCTGATAGAACGCACGGAGACGCCACCATTTTACAGACTGACCAGCATGAGAAAAGCATCCTCACATAGCGATGCGCCTGCAGCCGATCCGACTAATCCGCCTCGAGATTTGGCTGTCGAAAAGGGCACGATACACACGAAGCGACACTCTGGGGAGGATCCTGTGAAGACTGGGTAAGTTAATTTTCATCTTTCTCTGTTTCTCTTTCAATGTTCAGTTCTCAGTTTTTTCTATTTTTTTTTTTTCTTTCCGTCGTGATTCCTTGAAATCAGCGCTTCGAAGTCAGATACGGCCCTACGTGCACTTGCTGGTTTCTCGACTCCGCGAACAGATAAATCACGCAGTGGCAGTACGATTGCTGGCGGTGTTCAAGCATCGCTACTACCTGACGACCTCTCAATGACCACGAGTGAACCAGAGGTACGTTTTTGCATGCAAGCGAAAAACAACGCAGCTGTCTCTGGTGGTCAGCAGAATGGACAGAGGGTTAAAAGAAAGATGTTTCAGTTGATCGTCGAAGAAACATGTTATATTGTACGAAATGGAGCTACACTATCTGCCGAAAGCCGTATTCCTGGGAAGGCTGGCTTCAGTGTTGAAAAGTTTGACATCCCTCAGCCACATCCACTTCCGATGCCAGAGTATGGCGGCTACTTTGCGCCGCTCACGGAATACTTGCCAGATAGTTCACAACCTATAAGTGGCTTCCATAGGTAATCGGAAAAAAAATTATTCAAAAAACACTTTAACACTTAATTAGCTACGCACGTAAAATGATGCTGTATTGTGAAATAAATGCGATGACTTCTCTTTTCCAGATGCAACATTGCAGTAATGCTGCTAACGGACGTAGTTGTAGATGGTGTGCAGCTCGATTGGTCGATTCACGTGCCGCTCATGCTGCATATCGTCTTTCTTGGACTAGACCATTCGAGGCCGCTCGTTCGCGAGCACTGCCGCTGTCTCCTACTAAATTTGCTGGTAGTTCTCGGTGATCATCGCGATCATCTTGGCGTTGCCAGGGTCCTCTTGGCTTCTCGCACTGAACAATTGGGCCTTGGTCTGACGACTCCAGCACTGCCCGTTCTGAAACACAACTTCACTGAACTTGATCCGGAATTCGACAGCTACTTATATGGACCAACAGTTGTCCAGCCGCCCCTTTCTCATCATACAACTTCACCTCCTCCAGCAACCCCACTTCCAGGCACTTTTATCTCGTCAGCGATTTCATCGTCTATACCAGCTGCGACCACTTCTACTCTTTCGGCTACAATAGCATCAGCCTCATCGTCTTCATCATCATCCTCCTGCGCATCCTCCTCCTATGCAGCATCGGCGTCAGCTGTAGTGCCAGTAGCTGCAACAGTTACAAACCCGGCCCCAATCCCGACTACACTTTACTCCTACTCCTCTTCATCGAACTCCTCCGTATGTGGCAGTCCTGCGTCTAGTGTGCCTTCTTCGCCGCCGGCGCCTCCGCCGCTTCCTCCTTCACCTACACTACCGTCTTTGCCACAATTTTCATCAGCCTCATCACTCACCTCGTCACCTGCGCCGCCACCTCCGCCTCCACTTCCTCCACCACCACCGCCACCACCGCCATTACTCTTGCAAAATGATACAGCATTGACATCCGGTATCATGATTAACAGCAACACCGCTACCAATACTAGCAGTGTTTTTACTAACGTCAGTTCAGCTGGCACCTCTATCTTTATGCCAAACCCGGCAGTCTGTATCAGTACGAGCAACAACAACGTTGGCGCGGACTTTGAAAACAACGTCGATACTGTCTTTAACATCGGCACAACTGCTGTTGTCGGCCTCTCTGTAGCAACCTCTGCAACGACTTCCATCGCCAATCAATCTACAAATGCTTCAACAATTACCCTTACAAATGCTTCGTCCGCACATTTTGTGACAACAACGTCACCATCGACTTCGTTGTCATCGTCGGCAGCCGCTGTGGCAGTTTCGGCAACAACTATGGCGACTGCACCAATCACATCTATCTCTTTCGTTAATCAACAGCAGCAGCAACAATTGTTACAAAGCGGAGAGTATAATTATAGAGATGGATGTAGTGAGTTCAATGTTCACGGCAAGAGAGGTGAATACAAATAACATAAATAATAAATGAAATCGAAGAAATGCTTTATATGTGATAATAATTGTAGACTCGGCCACAGGCTCCAGCGGTGATTGGAACGCGACGTCTTCAACATCATCATTAAGTGCCATGGCACCGCCAGTGATAGTGACACCAGAAGTTGATGGGACAAATTGGACGTATCCTCAACCAGGACCGAGCATGTCAATTCAGGACGTGATAAAATCCTTGATAAACTTTTTGGCTTCAAGGCGAGTGCAGAAGTTGCGAGCGCACAATCAAATTAAGGGCGACTTTCATTAATAAGTCTTATATTTTTTGTAGGGCTAATCAACCATTATGGAATTACGAAGACATGACGGCTAAAGTTTGGTGGGTGCGCAGCGCAGAACAACTTACGGTGCTGTTGCGCCATGTGTTGCGCGTCTTCAGGGACTCACTGCCACACGCTTTAGTGAGTCAGCGATGGGCCCAAACGGCACTTCAACTAGGCCTCTCTTGTTCGTCGCGGCACTACGCCGGTAGATCTCTTCAAGTTTTTCGTGCACTTCGTGTACCAATCACCTCGAGAATGCTGTCGGATATTCTCTCGAGGCTAGTGGAGACTGTTGCTGAGCAGGGAGAAGACATGCAGGTATTAACACGTGAAGCGCAAAATTCTCTTGACAAATAGTCAGTTCTCGATGTGCCAAGTTTTTTTTTTCTTTTTTCATTCATCTTCCTTATTTTCAGGGATATGTAACCGAACTGCTGTTGACACTCGAAGCAGCTGTGGACTCGCTGGAATCGGACTTTCGGCCGCTTGACTTCATGAAAGAGATCTTTAAATCCACTCCGAATCTAAACAACAAGGATCCCGTATCGGGAATCATCGTAGGCGGCAAACGCAGTCCTGGTGGTGGTAATGTTTATCCCGGTAGTCCACATCTATTCTCTCATATGAATCAAACGGGTCACACGCGAAGTACCAGCTATTCCGTGAGTTACTGTACCAAAAAAGCTGGTGTTGTCGGCGTCGGGGGTGTTCCCGGTGGTGTAAACGGAAACAGTGCTACATCTGGAGGTGTTAATGGTAGTGGGGCTAATGGCAGTGGTGGAGTCAGTTGCATCTCTGCGTCATCGATATCAGACTCTAAGGGTAAGCTACAACTTATTATAAACTTTATAATTCAGAAATATCACTTATCGATCACTCTTGCAGAACTAGATGGCAGATCTGTATGTAACAAATATCCAAGTTCGAATCTCGCGAGATCGAGATCGGCTCAATCGCTGAAGCTTCTCGGTGATTCTGCAAGCCAGGACGACAAGATGACAATTCTGGCTCAACTCTTCTGGCTCTCAGTGTCGCTGCTAGAGTCAGATTATGAACACGAGTTCCTTTTGGCACTGAGGCTGCTGAGCCGCGTCCTTCACAGGCTGCCGCTTGATCGACCCGACGCTAGAGACAAGGTCGAGAAATTGCAACAGCAACTCAGATGGAACTCTTTTCCTGGTGTTCATGCCCTGCTACTCAAAGGATGCACGAGCCCGAATACTTACGAGCCTGTAGTCACGCTTCTGGCGCAATTTACGCCTTTACTGGACTTGCCTGTTGTCGATCCAACACAGAGTCTAGCGTTTCCCATGAATGTCGTCTCTTTACTGCCCTACATGCTGCTTAATTACGAAGACGCCAACGAGTTGTGCATACGAAGTGCTGAAAATATTGCTCAGGTAAACTTTATCTACAGTCGTGTATTTTTGCAACGCTACCAGAACCTCCTTGTGAAGATTTCACCCAAATACCTTTCATTTTCTCTGTCTTCCTTTTAAACAATATTAGGTGAGCGCCGAAAAGGGGAAAAAATTAGAAAATTTAGGAACGGTGATGACCCTCTACAGTCGACGCACCTTCAGCAAGGAAAGCTTTCAGTGGACGAAGTGTGTAGTTAAATATCTTTACGATACATATGCTCACCTGAGTTTTAACATGCTGGCATTCCTCGTGGAGGTTCTTGAAAAGGGACCAACGAGCGTGGCCCTGCCAGTCCTCAGTATTATACATTGCATGTTGCACTACGTGGACTTGGCGTCACCGAGCGCTCAGCCAGTCAATACGGAACTTCTGAGAGTGATTTCGAAATATGTCGAAGTACGTAAGATATATTCTTCGAATCCCATGAAGATGTAACAGGTCATTTTATTGGATCTCTGATGCTCGCATAGGGATCCCACTGGAAAGAAGCATTGAAGATCTTGAAACTCGTGGTTACGCGATCCTCGAGTCTTGTGGCTCCCCCGACTTCAGTTCACGGCTCTTCCTGGGATTCCTCACTTGCTTCGCCTCATCCAAGTTTCGCCGACAACGAAATATTCACAAAGAAGGAATTACCCGGTAAGTCGGATCGGTTGCTTTATGATTTTAATGGTGTAGTACGCGCACAGAAATAACGTCATTTTGTTCTTTTTGTTTGGCACCGTGGACTACGTTCCGATCGGACTACTTATTCGACAACGATCAGGTTGCGGTACAACTAATAACGATAGTCGCCTGTAGCTTCGTCATTGAATAAACTTGTAATTTCATAGTTCCACGTACCATTTGATATGGCTGGCCGTTTTCGAATTGCCCTCTCATTGATTTTTTTTCCACTTCATTTTTATCGTCATTGTTGTGGTAGTCGTAATTATTTATTCTTAGTCTTAACAGTCATGCATAAAGGTCCACATACGATTGAACGTTATATCACGCGAGTAGTGAAGAGTGAATTTCGCGTAAATAAGCGTTGAGGTGGTGAAAGTACATTTTGAATGGTGGTGCACATATGTATAAATGTATTAATGTAGACATGTTACACGATGCTATCTCAATAGGACGGACCATGGATTTTACGTTTGACCTGTCGCAAACACCGGTGATTGGTCGACGGTGGTTAATTCGCCCGAGTGGCGAAGACAGATCGCAGCTTGGCTCACCGCGACGTTCCATCTCGCTTTCACCAGCTGATAGCAATGCCATTGCTGGCTGGAAGAGACCCTGGATGTCCCAGGTTTGCAATTTCTCCTCCGATTAATGTACCACACACATAGAGTTAATACAGATAGAGCAGACAAGCCAGCTCTCAACGCGGCAGCGGCGAAGAGAGAGATAGATGCAAATCAGGGTGCAAAGGCGGATAGCTAAAGGGGTTCAGCTATCTCTTTCTTTCTCATTATGAGCGAACGGACACTTCCACTTGCAGAGCAGCCTATGGCTTGTCTGCTCTATCTGTATTAACTCTATGACCGCACACCACATACAGGGGCAACTGCATGAGATTTAACAAAAGAAAAAGGAATTGAAGAGGGCACGGAGTGCAAGGGGAGGGAGCAATGAAGGAGAAAATAAATAAATGATTAATTTGTTTGTTGCAGGGTCGCGTGCGAGAGTGCCTGGTCAATCTGTTGACCACCTGCGGACAGCGGGTTGGCTTGCCGAAGAGTCCGTCTGTGAGTATAGACTTTGTCTTCAGATTCTTAAGTCTTGCATGGGGTCGATAAGAATGCCTCTATAGAGGAGAAGGGTGCTTCATTAGTGTGATGGATTTTTCGACACCTTGCTCGGCAAACCCGAGCAAGCCTTGCGAGAACTCCTGAGCTTACAATGATATCTGACTCTCGTTATCTCCTCATTTTTAGGACGAACACGTTAGCTCAATGACAGTGTATTCTAAGGTAACGGGGGTTGTCCTTTTCATGAGAAGCAAGAGTGCTCTGACTAATGCACTGATTCGAGTACTTGCATCTAGCTTGTAGTTTCTATAATCACAGATCACTGCTGTGCAATTTAAATGCGGGTACACGTTCTTACTGGCACTGTTAAACAATTCACGATATCGCGCAGCCTCTTCTGTAAAACCCATTTATTTATAACGGAGTACCGGGAATTTCCTGGGCTCTTGGGATTTGACATTCCAACAGGTAATATTTAGTCAAAGTTCCGACTTGATGGAGCGACAATCATCAATGGCTTCGTCAACTGAGGAGATGTCCGGCGCAAACAATGACCTAAGCGGAGGCTCAAGGCGCGACGACGAGCAGTTTGGTGTCTTCAAGGACTTTGACTTCCTTGAATACGAAAGCGAGAGCGTCGAGGTAACTGAACCTACCGAATGCTGAAAATTCGATAATGAGTACGTTTGTCGTGATATTGAGGATGAGGATAATAAGTGATTAACATGTATTCAGGGTGAAAGCACGGACAACTTTAATTGGGGTGTAAGACGACGTCCATTAAGTGAGGGCGAGGAAAGAGAACCGAGTCTACGCCAATTCGAAGAGAGTCTCAGCGAGAGGACACCATCTTCTTCTGGCAAACACCCGAGTACCAGGGTAATTAACGAGAACATCTGGTCTTCGTGGCAACAGAACGCAGCATGACAGATTTATTCGGGATTTTTTAGCGAGGCGTCGCCGAGGAGTCATCCGACGACGAAGTTGGTTCGGAATCGCCTCTGGATGAAGTACCGCCAGGAAGCAGCGGTTCAACTGGTGGCCCGGAGACAACCGGTATTCTACCAGGAATGTTTCCACCTTCCTCGCTATCCTTAATTCCAGGACGAACGCGCCACGACTCCTCCACACGGTCAGACACTTCGTAAGTCTCTTCGCTTCTTCTGGTCGATTATTGTCATTATCTGCATCGATAAATATTTATACATAAAAATTCGCATAGCGGTTCGAGTGCTGGTGATCTTGGTGACGTAACGCCATGCAACGCCTCGCCCAATTTATCGGGCCTGATGCCCTTCCGACACGCGGTGCGAGACGACACTGAGGAAATTTGGAGACAGCAAATACAAGCCTTAATCACACAAGCTCCTTATAACACTCTTGACTTTTTTCAATTACTTGGACGAATCTTACGGGTAAGTATATATTTATAGGTTCAAATTTGGTTCAGGAGACTATTTCTGCATTTAACTGTCGTGATAGGACGCAAGTAACAAATCGGTAAGTTTGACGCGTGATGCGAGCGCCCTGCTGAGGGCTGGGGGAGCTGCCTCCGTTCTTCTCGGGTCCCACCTGTCGGGGCACGCGGAACTCCTTGGGTCGAAGGCAGAGCCTCCTCTGGTTTGGTTCTCCGCGACCGTTTTTGCCAGCCAGAGACTTCATGAATCTTTACGCTTTGGTATGCTAGAGATTCAAGAACATCTTGAAACGTTTCTTGATAGAAAGGATCATGCTAGTGAGGTAAGTCTGACTAGTCCAGTTGTCATTGGGTAACTATGTGAATACGAGTATTATGATGTGTACAGTGCCTAGAGGTTGTGAAGACAACCAGCAAATTGCAGACATTGGATGAAAGTCAACCGAGCGAAACAGCGCTGGAGGAGATGCTCCTGGACCTCGGGAGAGCTCTTTATAAGCTTCATTTTCAGCTCTTATTGTTGATCGAAGCATCGAATAAGATGCTCGGTGCACTGACAAATGCTGCTCGAAATCTGCAGAGCCCTTTACAGGATGCTTCGAACGAAGTAGCCTGTATGAGAATCGCTCTCAGTAGAGCCCTCGAAGAGAGCACCGAAAGCGAACGTGGCACTCCGACACCAACTCTGAGTCCGAGTCCACTACCTGGGGCGGCTGCCGGGGCTCTAGAAGATGTGGCCAGAGTCGCGGAACTCCTACGATCAGCCAGATGGTCGTCAGCTCTCGAAGCTGTTAGACTTCACAGAGCGCAGTGGCCAGCCGACCCCTTTCATGACGAAGATGATGTCGTCACAACCGCTGTAAACATGTATTGCAGGCATCTCGGTCAAGACAGATCAGGTAACTTTTCTCAATGTGTTATCCGTGTTACACAGTGTTTGTACCAGTCTCGATTTCATAATGGGACTTGCGACGTAAGAATTGAGTAAAACCTCGCGCTCCCTTTACGAATATTATGTAGACACTGCTTAGTATAAATTATCCTAATCCTCTATTATGTCACATGTTGCAGACCTCTTTGTAGTTACACGGAGTGACCGAGAGATGTCAGAAGTGTTTGGTAAGCTCATGGAAAGTCTCTTTCAAGTACTTGCCGGCGTTACAGGTTTGGAGGCTTCGACGAAAGCTACGAGAGCACAATGCCTCGAACACTCGCATGCTTCTAAAACAGACGTTTGAACTATTTTACACATTGCCCTCGGTCCACCCACAACTTGACAGAAACATAGGGATAAGTCCGCAGTACTGCTATTATATATTAAAAACTTTTAGGGCGAACGCCTCGTAATCCAAGAGTTCTTGTTCCTTCTTGTACATCCAGTGTGCATACTACTTGGTGATCGTCACGCTTATCATAAACGACTACATGTGTATAACTGAAAGGAAATAAAGGATGTCATTTGAAAGCACACCGACCATCTTTTATTTTACGCATCTCGTCCTCATGTTAAAACAAACCAGTGTAATTATTGTCATTCGCATACAAAGAGAAATGGACGGGATTTACCTTCGCCTGGGGAACTACGACTACGATGTATTCATGAATGTCAGTGACTTTTCCAGGAGGTTCGTGGATCGCACAATCTCAGATGCAGTGTGCCTTGCGCTTAAGGCAAAGCATTATCGAACGGTTAGCTGTGTTGAGGTTAGGTCGTCTTGCATCCCATTCGTAGGGGCTAACGATATAAATTGCACAGCTGACATTTCTTGGAAAAAAAATCCCGCGTGACTGTGCCCAACGCGAGAAGAAGATCTCTTGGCCAACCTGTGGTAAAGTGAATTCTCAAAATGCTCTCAGATGCATCGAAACGATGATGGATCAATGGAAAGCACTGCCGGTTTGTCATGCTTGTCGAATCCAAAGGAATGCTGATATAAGCGCTAGTATCCTGTCCCTAATCAGAAACTAATCGGGTCTGATTGCTACGCACACCTAGGGAATGCGAGATTGGATGTATCATGTGGAATTCATTCGCCTCGGCTCGAATCGCTCTTCCGAATTTTACGCTTATCGAACAAAATGGAGTGTTCCGACCTCGGCCTGCCCAATACCCCGCGTGACGGCCAGCGTCTTCTTCAATGTCGAAGCCAGCCGGCTCAAACCCGAATGGTATCCAGTGGACGTAAGTGCTGCCTTCCTCTTTTCCCTATCGTCAAGTCAATTCGCTGGACTCCTCGACTGACCTGGCCAACATTCGGTTTTCAAGGTAACATACGTCTTCGAAGGAAGTCAACTAATTCATCGGACAAACTGGCCCTTTCAACCGAAATGGCTCTACGACATCCTCGATATGAAAAACATTATTTTTTTAGACGTAGACCAACCATAATTAATTATTTTAGCCATCGTGAAGATCAGTATCTGCCAATAAATTGAACCCAGCCGAAAATCAATCGGTTCAGCTAACCGGAATATCGCGTGTGTATTCCTTTTCGTCTTTTACCGGATGCTGACGTGTGATCATCAGCGTCGATTCGTCATCATCTCTGGTTCCATCCTGACCGTCATCCTGCTGGTGCACAGACACCACAGAGACCCAAGTTATCTCATCTATTTAAGGATGTCGCCGCAGACACCGTATGCAACTATGCGTGCAGGGGGCGAGCGGGCAAATGCGTGGGCCATGCGTTGGTCTTTCAAAAGATTCCCTTACCTCTCGCGCCCAGTCGGCTATCCGTCTACCCTGCCCGCCCCCCTTTACCCGCCTATGGGACATCCTCGTTTCATCGCGACGTAACAGTCACGTTCATATGTATACTCCCACCTTTGCATCGAACTTCAATGCGCCGACATGACAGCATTCAAAGTGCTAAACAGTGCGCCACGTGATGCAGATGCTCCTCGGAGCCGGAGGCCGGAGGCCGGAGGTCGGACGTCGGCCAATGCCAGGAGGTCTCCTCTCCGTCTCAGCAGGAGAGAGCCTCAGGCAGGCCGCCACCCGCGATCTCCAACCTCGCGTCGTGTCACCGGAGCCACCGTGATGACGACGATGATATCTCGCATAGCGCCGCGACGCTCCAAGAGAGCAAGCAGAAGCACGCGCCTCTCTCAGGATGTTTGTGTTTCCTTTGACTCAGCCGTCCACTGCGCGGTTCAGAACGGCTCCGTGCATTTTAACGAACTACCATCGACTGAATAATTAGTCGCTATAACTCATTTAGATAATTTTTAATATTTCTACAATACCAATTGTTGGTTGCATTGTACGAGGGTCAATAATGAAAAGAATCCAATTGTTTCTAACTAATGACTGGGCTCTTTATAAAATTATTTATTTATCGTTAGTTTTTTGTCTTGAATCACGCCACGTGCTCATTATTAGGAAATGACGTTGCACGCTCGGTATGAAGTTTTTGTTGGCGTGTCTTAAACATCACATCCGCTCCTTCGTATTTTCTCTGGATATTGGTCTACCCGGGAAAAGCCGAGAGAGAAACCACCGCTTTGCACTCGGCAGCTTCAAACATCCGCTGCTGCACCAGCCGCTGCGCCACCCTTTTCTTCTTTCTTCTTTTTACCGTTTCCTTCGTTCGCTCGTTCTTTCCTTCCTTCCTTCCTTCCTTCCTTCCTTCCTTCCTTCCCTTCCTCCTCACCTCTCGCCTCCTAAGCGGCCAGAAAATATGTCGAAGAAACGACGAACCTCCTGGATGTTTAAAACATCGTTTTTCAACTATTTCGCTATTTGATGTAACATAAGGATACAACAGAAGCAGAAGGATGTCATCTCGGATGTTGAAAATAAACGAAAATTAGTCTTCCTTTAACCTAAGGATTGTCAAGCATGCCAAATGCGAGGATATGGCCAGCAACAGTTGTAAACACAAAGATTGATCGCTGCGGCGACGTAATGTCCTCCGAAGAATCGAGCCGATTGTAAGCGACCTGGCAGGTGACACGCAGAGTAACGAGCTCGCACTATATTACATTCAAGCGGGGTGTTTCCTGGACTCAAGTTACGTAGGAGCAAACGCCAAGCGCGCACCGACGAATCGCACAGCGAGTGCCATTTCAAATGTCATTTTGAGGATTGCCGAGGTGACGCGTTAGCAAACTATTGCTTGGAGCCACGTAGGGAGCTAATGAGCATGAGGAACTCGCCGAAGCACGTACGCGGAAAGGTCGAGTGACTGAATGGGCGGCAGCGCGCGGATAGGTACGAGAAAGAGAAAGGAAGAGGAAGAAGGAGAAGAGGAAGAAGTGCACAGGTGCGAGTGAGAGAAGAAAGAAAGAAAGGGGCTGAGACGAGGGAAGCGTCTCGGCAGCTGCCGCTGCGTTTTGCCCGCGTCGACGGTCTCGGAGTCGAGTCGAGCTTCTCTCGGAAGACGGCGCGGGCTAAAATTAGCGAGAGACGCACGTCCCCGCTAGCCCGTAGATGGGTTGCCGTGAATTCTTATGGATCGCCGCGATGGCACGATCAGCCCCGTAGGAGCCGCGCACATGGAGAGGCGGCACGCGCGAAGCCGATCGGTAGTCCACCGACCGGCTGCGATTGGAAGCAGAAACGGAGAGGCTCGCGGAACATATGCAGGAGCGTGACGTGCTCCTCGCGGCTGGGTTAACTGTCAGTGCAGATGCGACGGGAGGAGAAGTGTAGCGAGGCGCAGTGGCAGGATGGGGAAGCGCTGTGGGCGTCGTCGTAGGGGTCCGGCGACTGAATCCCGGAGCGTGGAGGAGCGTGGAGGAGCGTGGAGGAGCGTGGAGGAGCACGGAGGAGATGGACGAGGCCCCGGTGCCGCGCTCGCACGCGCACATCTGCGTCGGGCGGATGCAGCCTGCATTTTATGAGCGCCCAATGAAACCGATTCTCTTGCTGGTGAACCGACACCCGCAGCCACAGCCGCACGCGCGCGGAAGGCGCGAGTGCGACGGGCGTGTGCGGCCACGCGCCCGGTGTGGCCCCTGCCCATGGGCACCGACACGGACTTTCCTATAATTAGACCTCCTTTCTTATTTATTCTCTTGCTCCGGTCCTCGCTCGTGCTCTCCTTCTTTCGCTTCCGCGGAGCACCTTTCCGTCAGCGGCGTGACGCCGACGGAAGTGACACGCCCGCGCAGCCAACCGTCAAGGCTTCATAGATCGACGCGATCTCAGCGAACCTCAATCAAAGCGAGTCCTCCTCTAAAAATAGCCACCAGCGCTGGACATCTTCTTCTCGGTATGCGGGTTAACGATTGGGAGCACCGAAGGTGTTCACGGAGTTGCCTCTAGTGCCAACCGTATTGACGTTTATCTCGGCTATTTCGAAGAAGAACGCAGGTTACGCTCGGATCTATTTGCAGGCAGTTGGCAGGAGGAGCGACTGCCGTAGTTGCCTTTCGCACTTTGACGTCGTGACCGACACCAGCGACACCACCGACACCACCGACGCTACATCGACGCCACCTCTGAAGACCACCTTGCGCGCACGTGTCTCCCCTATCCTCCCGCCGCCCCCCTCGAATTCCTTTTGGTCTTACAATCTTACAATTAGACTCTCTTAAAAGCGAATTCCTCGCTCTCTGCTTGACTTGGAAATCCATCGGGGAAATTCGTAATGGATCTTGGGATTCGAGAGACGCACTCTCGCCGGTGTATACGAGAGTATGACTACGTTACGCCGTTATTCGTAAACCACGGCTAAATTTAACGGAGGCCTCTCGACCTCCTCGTAACCACCTCGCTGCCTCGTCCACGCGTTGTCGGCGCCAACGGTAACCAGCAGTGCCACCAATCTATCTCGTGTGAAAATAATGCCGATCCCCAGGTGTGCGGATGCGATCGAAGAACAAGAAGATGGACGCGATAGCTGGAAATCAGAGAAACGGCACTCTTCCCACGGGGTCAGCTGCTTCGGAGAAATGAGAACTTTGAAAGGATCAAGATAAGGCGGCTCGAGTGCGAAGCGCGTGGCTGCATCTTGGGCTCTAGATTTGTCAATGGGCCACTAGACGCAGCAGACGGAGCGAACGGATAGATGCGCCTGGCCGCTGCTCCTTCGCTCGTTATCCTGGCATCCACTCTCGTAGGCAAAGGCCACTTCGAACGACAGGACACGGGCTGGGCTGCTGGGCTGCTGGGCTCCCGCACCGAGTCACATCGTGCGCCATGCGCCATTCGCCATGCGCCATGCGCCATGGGGGCCGAGGTTGAGGTTGGGGTTGGACGCGTGGCACTCGCGTGCCACTCTCTCCCCTCTTTCACTTTTCTGGCCCTTTCCGGCCCGACCTCTGACTCCGTCGCGGTTCCCTTCCTTACTTCCTGCTCCCTTCCCTCATTTTCCCCTTACCTGCCGCTTCCTCTTCATTTCAAAGATCAGCAAAAGTTCAACAGATGGGCATGTTATACCACCGAGATTCCTCTCATGTGATTCCTCGTGTCCATCCGTTAATCTCTATTGTAGCCACCTGAGACAAAAAAGTCAATGTACCAAACTTTCTTTGTGCGAAGCTTTATTTACCGGCCGCATTTTTTGTTCCTTGATATAAGACATTTTCCAAAGATATTAATGAGCATTTATCAAGAAGCAGCTAATTGTCATTGACAGCAAATTAATGATCACCATGATGAATATTTCGGTAACCCCGAACCAAATAATAACGTTAGGCTATCCCGCTGCATCATTCTCGGATCACGTCGATGGAAGCATCGTCTTGGAAGCATAAGGCCCCAAAATACCTCCCGAGAAGGAGGCACGAAGGTAGTTGGCTGAGCTGGTGGGCGCGTGCTCGACAGCTGCACCGGTGGCACTGACTGAAATAGCTTTGGAACCCCATGCCGAGGGCAAGTACGATTCCCCTGAACCCTGCTAAAATTTCTCCATGCTTTTAAATAGCAATCCCAAGGCCCAGACGATAGTCCGATACAAAACTATACAAGTCGTATAAGGCTATCGAGAAATGTTGATTGGTTTTCCACTAGAAAGATCTAATATCGGGACTCTCTTCTCCATCTGAAGCTCCATCAAAAAGCTTTTAAGATATTCATAAACAGTTTAAGAATTGTTGGGGCTTTCCGGAGGAACTGCCAATTGTTAAACCAACATGTTCCACGAGCTTACTAATCTAGCGTCATAGCGATAGTCTGACGTTCGAAAATTTATTTCTGGATACTAGAGATACTAGGGTAATACGGTACCACTAGTAGGAGCCACCTGTTTCTCTGGATGCGCTAAATAACACATCCCTTCGAATAACACTCGCCCACGAGAAATAATTCATTTTATTGTTTCGTCCTGTCGAGGATAATGATGTGTTCTTTAATATTATTTCCCCCGAAGGTAGCATTGATATTATCGAACAATAATAAATGAACGAGGTCGCGGCATTCGAAATCGGTCGTTGCCAATTCAAAAAGACGAATCTAGAGGAGGAGAAGAAGAAGAAGAAGAGGAGGAGGAGATGCTTGGCGTCGCACTCTCGTAGCCGGTGGAAGCAGGTTGGTGCGCTGGGTGGTTCTTCTGGCGCGGTGCCAGGCGTACGCCGAATTTAGCACCGCGACGCTGACTAACTCACGAAGCATTCATTCAATCGTTGAAGAAACTTCTTAGTCCACCTTTCATTGGGCGAAATGATCCTGATGGCAAGAGCAAACTAATCGACGCGAAGGAAGGTGGAAAAGGCCAAGCAGTAGCGGGTTAAGTAAGGACAGTAGGGTCGATTCTTGCGGCTCGTAAGGAAAATCAGGTGGACGGGTGAAGAGAGACATGATGCATTCTCCTGAAAGTGTTCTCTCCATCTTTATCTTTCTCTTTCGATAGAGCACACTTAGTTCGGCAGTGAAAGAGAGCGCGCGCGTATCCATGCTCGCGAGGTAAGTTCACGGTAGAACCCCTGCCGAAGAGGGGGATAAAAATAGAAGAGGACACACGGGTTGCTCGTCGCGGCGGAGCGCTCGGGTTCTACATGCTCGCGCAGCCCTGAGCTTGTTTCTTCCCTACAAAGCGGGACTCTGTCAAAATTCTCGAGAAGGCATTAACTCCGCTAGTACCTGGTAAAACTTCCAACAGATTCCAGAGCGACAATTGACTTTTACGTAACTTTGTACTCGACGAAAGACGATAACGCAATGGTGGAATCTTTCGGATGCGCTCCAAGTGTCCAACGAGACACGGAAGAAGACGTACACGTATAAGGCTAACAATGAGTTATAGCATGCCGAGGAGCGCGCAGTCGACGTAGTAGCGTAAACAAGGGAGGGAGCAGCAACGGCAACAGCAATAGCATCGGCAGCAGCAGCAGCAGCAGCAGCCGTGTTCGAGCCGAGGGTGAGGTAGTTGAGAGAACTGAGGAGTCGAGGAGTCGAGGAGTCGAGGAGTCGAGGGGCCGGGAGTGGCAAGGGGTCCACGCGGCGGAGGGAAGCTGCGCTCCTATATGTAGCCCCGAATCTTAGCCGAACCGACTACTACGCTCGAATCTTACGTAGCGTACGCACCCTTTGCTCCTTCGTCTCCTGCCGATCCTCTTCCTTCACGCGACTCCGTCTATTCGTCATTGCGGTTTTTTAATTATTTTCACCTGATCGAGAGGGTAGTTACCCTGCTCCGGAAGAGCAGCGAGACCGACTCGCGACTCCTTTGATTGGTGATGGTGTCCCGCGAAGACCAGTGAACCGCGAGACGTGACACGCGAGTGAGCCTCATTGGATATCGAGTGCTATGACAGCTTCCTAGACTCGAAGACTCGAAGACTCGAAGATTCTCCTCCGCGAGTTGCCCACGATGCCACGGGCCTTCCTGATAACGCATCGCCGCTACAACGGCCCCGAAGAATTCGCAGAAACCCTGCAAGGTAAGTACAAACTCGTATTCCTCTTCATTCGGATCCCACCGCTCGTTCTTGCATCTTCGAGTTCTCCTGCTTCTGCCTCACGCTGCTCTACAGTCTCCAGTCTCACTCTTATCGTTATCACTTGCGTGCCGGTTTCGCTCGACGACGTTAAAAAGGGTTGGCCGCCAAGGGTAAGACAGTTTTCAATGACTTTCCTAAGATTCTAAAGACGACGTTATTTAAAAGCTAGTAGATCACCTGACGACAGTCTAGGATCTTCATTGCTTTTATTCGTATCCTCGATATGAAGATCGCGTCAGTTGGTTGACATAACAGTTATGCTATCTATTAATATAGTGATGACCATGGTGGTTATGGCGTCGGCGATGACGGTGATTCGTGAAGGTGAAATAACAAATGACGAGTGCATATCCCGCGGCTGTGAGAAAGTCCTTCAAATTTAACTGAGAGTCTGAAGACGCGAGACAATGGGATAGCGTCTCGAAATCATCTTTGAGCAGCTTCATCTGCGGCTGACTTTAGTTGCCTCCTTGTCTTCCGTACTGCCTGGCGCAATAATTAAAGTGATCGCAAATCGTACAGGACGTATACCAGCCCCAGCATCATTGGTACCACCGTTACCAACTGCGCCATCATTGCCACCATAGACGAGACCCTAGCAGCTCGGAAAACGGAGGTCGGAAGCTCCACTTGGGAGCGCATAGATAGATTGATGCGCGCGCATGACGATCATTCCGCCGGTACGGAGGCACGTCGCTCTATTTTCGTTACTCTCGCGGTAGTTCATTCCGAAAAAGGAGGAGCAGCAACAGCTGTAGAAGCGAGAAAGATCCGAAGAAATCGTGAGAGCGAGCAACTCGTATAGTAGAACATTTAATGGTTCCTCTGTTTTATATTTGCAGATTACAGTCCGGAAAGAGGAGTGAGACTGGCCGAGTACGGAGGCGGCCAGCCGACTTCGGACGGAGTGAGTGACTGTGGAAGCGAAACTTCCTCCGAATGTCCCGAGGAACTTTATAACTTGACTAAACTGGCGGAGGTCAGTCTGGCCGCAGCTGCAGGAACTCTCATTCATCCCGACAATCTCCTTTGCCAGCGATCTCTGTCGCCGACCCGACCGAACGACAGATATCGGATGAGCCCCGCAGCCTCCTCGAAACATCAGCACCACCACCACCACCACCACCACCATCATCAACGTCCGCACCAGTATCATAATCATGAGGAAATCCGATTGGAGCATCATGCCTACCACCGTCATGGCTTTCAGCGTCAGGTGCACCAACACAGCCATCACGCGTCCTCCTGTCAGCAGCAACAACAACAGCAGCGAGATGAGCAGGAATACGAGACTTTACGTAAACCAGGGACGATCGAGGACGTGACTCTTCGGGAGCGATCGCGACTCTTCTTTGAGAGAATTGAAAGGGAGCGTGAGATCCTCGAAGGAGTACCACGGGATTCGGAGAAGAAACTCTCATCCTCCGAGAAGGAGACCAAGCGTGGATGCCCTCCTGCGATCGCACCCTCGAAGAGCGCCTCAGCCGTTGCGCCGGCAGCCGCAAAGCCGGCCTCGGGCGCAATTCCACGGCACGGCACGGTCCAGGCCGAATCAAGTAAGGCTTGCGGCGAGGACAACGAAGAGCACGAGTGCCCTGACTGCGGAAAGAAGTACTCCACGTCGTCGAATCTAGCAAGACACAGACAGACCCACAGGTCCCTGGGGGACAAGAAGGCAAGAAGATGCCCACACTGCGACAAGGTCTACGTGAGCATGCCAGCGTACAGCATGCACGTCAGGACCCACAATCAGGGATGCAAGTGTCACTACTGCGGAAAGTGTTTCTCTCGTCCGTGGCTTCTGCAGGGTCACATTCGCACGCACACCGGTAAGCCAATCGTCTCTAAAGACAGAATAGACATAATACTAACGTGCCTGAGAACATTCACTTATTAATTTCCATGTGTGATCCTTCCAGGCGAGAAGCCCTTCAAGTGCACAATCTGCAACAAGGCTTTCGCCGATAAATCGAATCTTCGGGCGCATATTCAAACGCATTCGAATACGAAGCCGCACGTTTGCACTCGTTGCGGCAAGGCCTTCGCCCTGAAGTCCTACCTTTATAAGCACGAGGAGTCTTCCTGCATGCGAGCGCATCATCGAACACCCGCCGAAAAACGTGAGGCCTCTTCCGAGAGGCTGGCCTTTGCTTCATCCGCTTCTCCAGCCTCCACCGCAACGACATCGAGCACGGCGACAATCACTCCTCTCTCGATTACTCAAAGTTCCAGATCCATAAATACGACGCTTGGCTCGACAACGAGAGCGCAAATCGATGCTGAGGTCAATGAGAGAGAGAGATCGGGCCCCAGTGTCATTGTTCCGCGACGGGGTTTGTCCGATCCCTTCGGTGACCTAAGTCGAACAGCCGAAACTTCAGGAAAAACTTTACGGCCCACCGCGTTCTCGGCCATTATAAAGCATACGAAGCTCTCCCAGCATCAATATCAGCAGCCTCAGCAACTGGAACAAGAAGAGGAAAAGGATGGGCAAGAACGACAACCGACAATGTCGAAGCGCCGCTGTCGGGAGCCAAATACAAGAGACTCTATTTGTTTGAATAAAATGGCCGAAATCTCAAGGACGAAAGAGGCGTCGAAAATGATATCAGAGGAGTCGCCGGAGCTGGAGTCAAAGCCAGAGTCTACGAAATCGAAATCAAAAATTGAAGCCTCCGACTCTGATGAGCAATCTGAGTACGTATCGCGAATGGTCATAAGGACTTCCGTGATATCGCCGAATCCTGAACATCTGGGACGCTTAAGTTCCCTCGTTGGAAAAAATCCGACCACGTTCGATTTGATTGAACCCTCAAGGACTTCGAGGATCAGCCTGAACCTCGCTATCGGCTGAGGTCACCGATTATTATTCCAAATACCATCCTATTAGGGGACCATCTAGAATCTAATTTGAGCCTTTTAAGTAATGCATCGAGGAGAAGTAATAGAGACAATGGCAATGTGCAAACACACACACACAGAGAGAGAGAGAGAGAGAGAGAGAGAGAGTGAATGTATGAGAGTGTGAGAGAAAGTTAGAATGCGAGTGTGTGCGGGTGTGCGGGTGTGCGTAATGACTGATTGCGAGTGTAACAAAGAGAACAGCGAAGAGAGGGATCAGTCTTATCCCTGTACTTGGACCTATTAGGTTAAGAGAAATAGTCCTTCTTGTAGAGACGCGCTCTTCGAGGCAGCTACGAATGCACTTCCTTGTAAATATTAAGGAGTTCAGTGTTGCACGAGAGAAACAAAGGAAATGTGTGTTCGCGATCTTTACGTTTGATTCCCATATTTCCGTATTCCGTAATCCGTAATCTGTAATTCCGTATTTTATATTCCGTTACCAAATGTATAGTCAAGTAGCGGAAAGAGAGTGTACGAGCTAGTCGAAGTTATTTCGTGATCGATCCCACCTTTATTCGTCCAGATTGTGAAGACTCAAAGAAACATTGGCACTTGATCTCTTATCGGATCTTTGTCGAATCTCACAATCAGTAAGAAACCAGTCGCTGTAGGTACTGGGATGTAACGCAGAAGATGATGGTGGGGATGTTCGTTTTATATATGTATATAATCAAGATATATCTACATTTTCTCTATCCACAAATATATATATATATATATATATAATATACATACGTGTGCGCGGCTCACGTATGGGATGTAACGCAGAAGATGATGGTGGGGATGTTCGTTTTATATATGTATATAATCAAGATATATCTACATTTTCTCTATCCACAAATATATATATATATATATATATAATATACATACGTGTGCGCGGCTCACGTAAAAATGTAATCCTAGAATAGACTCGATGCGTCTTCGCTAGTCCTATATTCATTGTCCGCACCTCGGTTCGTCCAGTGCATAGTTGTAGTGTGTAGGCTCGTCAGTAATTTACAGCAATAGTAATTATTGTGGGTAAACAGTTAACGCATCAAAAGGAAGAGGAGATTTCTGAAATGTAGAATTTTCGTTAGTTCCTTTTATAAGTCTCGCATCCTAACCTATATCATCGACCTCATCCATGTCACTGTCCATTCCCATGTCCGTTTCCATAAGCACATTTACTGTAAATAGCATTCCCACCAATCGGTTTAGTTTATTGTAGCCGTTAATATTAGTCTTGCGAATAGTAGCAATATTCTTTTATAGCTCTTGCATGTCCATTTTTCTACGAATTGTGATGAAATTGTCGATTGCAAAAAAAAATACATAAAAATACCCGGATACCACAAAGACATCCCAAAGACGTTTATCGGATGTCTTAAGTTTGTGTTCTCACTCGATCTCATGCGTTCAATCATATCTTTTTCCAACTATCCCTCTTAGGAAATGTGATTTTCCTGCTTATACTTAATTTCGTTGTTCCCTTACCTACGTAAAATATTACAAAGCACGATATCATAAGATGATACGTCTCTTTGAGCATTTGAACAAATTCAAAGAATTCAAGGAGGATTGGGAAATGCTGATGCATTTCACATTTGGCCGTTTCCATTCCGTATGCGACGAGCCACTTTCGGATAAACAATGACTGGCTGTCTTTTACAACTGGAATGTAATATCTAGCTCGTAATTAGAGCAGCTAAGGAGAATCGGCCTGCAGAACAGCCTATCAAACGCTTGAGAGTAACAAGTAAGTCGATTTTATCGAGACTCGCTCTTTCATGCCCCGGATAGAAGCCACATTTAGCCCAGAAACGAGAAAGAATTTCGATAAGGAAGCGCCACCCGCCGGCGGATCTCCATTCGCGACTTCAGCCACACTTTTTCGCGAACAATCATCAATCGTAGCTGATCGAGTCGTTCTCGGACTTGCTATCAGAGGGAACTCAAGAGAAATTGGGACGCGATCTTGTGACACGCAAGAATCGATAATAATTTCTTTTGGAAATCGAGACGACCAAACTTTAAACGGGTCTTTTCACTGATATTTTTCGTATACAAATTTCTGGTAAATCCACGTGACTGAGAGTAATTGCTTCCGTAATTAATTCAACCGAAGTGCCCCACCCCCAC